TAGCGATTTGGTCCCCCACCTCGCCCCTCTTTAGTGATTTCGACCCCTTTCAAAATGAAGTATTTCCTCCAAAACTTCAGTTTTAGCGTGTCCAAGAACATAAACTTGTTAAATTTTTGCAATTGATTGTTAGAAGAGACCAGAAGAGATTAAACACTACGCATTTTAGTATAATCTGTTATGCCATCGATGAGCAGTAATATATTTTTCTTTATAACCATAGGGCTAAACTTGTTTTCATTAACGTCGCAGCATATAGAGAGACTGTAAGAGACCTTACATTTCTGTGATTGGCTTGCTTCCTTACTGATATCGAAATCCTAGTCATTATCAAATGATCCTGCGTTTTTACCCTATGTGTACCCTCCCAAAATCATTTTGACAATGCTAGCGATCTCGCCCCCCCCCCCACACACACACTGGTGGGCGAGATCGCTAGGGGGCGAGATCGCTGTGACACCGGCAAACTGTAAACTGGCTGACTCGGCGTGTTGTCCAGCCGCGCCCTCAAGCGCGCCCTCAAGCCTGGTAGAGGCTAGTGAAGTAGCATGTAGCTATATTTGAGACGAGGGCACTGAAAATGTACGATTTCTGCCAGTACATTGATTTGGTAACCAGGAGCTCATGACAACATCGGTGATAAATGTCGCCAGATTGCGGGGTAGCCCTGTGCAGGATCCGGGTCAGGCAGGTATTAATAGACCGTTCCAGAAGCCACGCCCCCTTTATAGCAACGCCCTAGCAACTCGAACATCTCCGTTAAAAAAAGCGCGGGAAGGGCTGCGACGGCCACCGCCGCCAGAATGTCGGTTTTGCCGCCTAATTTTAGGGTCGAGTTTTCAGCAACGAAAAACTCTTTCAGCAGGCCAGAAAAGGGGATATGCTATCTTTCTTCAAGGACACATCCGCAGTGTAGAATTATTTGAGGAGGGGACGGATGTAGTCTCCACCAGACTCCTTTGCGGGCTGTATAAATAGTAGAAATCGGCGGGAAAAAAAGAGATATAATTGGCCAGGGGAGTTAGCCGGCCATAGAGGGAGACATCGCATATTGTATCTCTCTGGCCGGCTAACTCCCCTGACATACTATGCCCTTTATTTTGGCCAATTTCTACTGTTTTTCCAGCGATCCGCGGTGCCTGGTGGAGGCAAGGGTTCGACGCGTTTGATCAGGAACGGTCTATCAGTTTGGCTGGCGTAAAAATATATACTGGTACCAGTACAACAAAAATCCTAATTAACACGCCTAAAATAAGCCGAAGCCTAAACCTCTGCTTGGAGAGTGGTTCGAACAATGAGCTGAGCCCAGGCAGCGCTTCCTGTTCGTTGAAGTCAAAAGCAAAACGTTTCTTTCAGAAAAGGCTCTAGATATGTTATGTCATGTGAAATCTGTCCGAAATCAGATTTTCCCTGCGTCACGCGTACAAAATCAAGATAAAACAAGCAGCCACAGGCAACAACTCTCCGTGAAGTTCTATGTTTTGCAGATTGAGAACAGTATACTAGTAGCTATAAACTAAACAGTGTCAACTGTGCGCGCCGACATACTACAATGTCAACTGTGCGGGCCCGTCACACTGCAGTGTCAACTGTGCGGGCCCGTCACACTAACACGACTATGTCGGGCCAGAGATGCCGGGCGACAACATAATTAATCAACAATATAGAAAATAGGGGTGTTTTTGAAATATACATTTACCACAATATAAAAACTTCTACGGTAAAAAGAAAAACTCGTGCATCATTACGGATATAACGACACACCACATGCTCAATTTCATGAAAATACAAAGTACAGAACCATGACTTTTAACTGCTGACACATCTCAGAACTGCCCCCCATTCCTTAAGTTAACCATGGTCGACGAAGCATGCATCTGTGTTAACTTCAAACCCCCGCTGTGCTCCACTTTAACAACAGTTTACAGACGGCCAGTTCCAAAATTCCTACTAAATGTAGGGGTGCTTTTAAAATAATATATCGAAAACACCTACGGTATGAATAAGCATGCGTACATCATCACGGGCATGCCTGCAGACGACATGCCGATATAACAAAGGGAAACTTTAGTTTTCGCTGCTGACAAGTAAAACCGACTGAATAGTGAACTGAATACTAGTACTCCGCCGGAGATCAGGATCTCCTTCACGTAACAAAGCAGCTGTGTCCCGTCACAGTAAAATTATATTCTCGTTCTACTTTCAAGTGGCGGATTTTCGTTTCGGCGGGAAAGGTAGCAGTGAACTTTGGCGGGAAACCAACCCCTTGCCATCCAGTGTGTACTGACAATCTTGTGACAAACAAATAATAAAACGCAATTTGGCAAAAGATCATACCAAATTATGGCGGTATGATTTGTCTAGGCCTCAAATTCAATACCGTAGCGCGACATGCTAGGGTCCCAGGATAGACAACTACACGAAGCTATTAAAGTAGGGAAAGCTAGATCTAGATTGTTATCATCCCAAGTTACTATAGGCTAGCCTCCTTTGCAGGCGTTCCGGAAGCGGGCGCTTACTTTCGACATGCACGAGTTTGTGATCATACGTAGACCGCACGCATAATTTAAGAAACTATGGCCGCCAACCCTAAAACTATAGCAACTAGGAATCTAGGGTTGGCGGTAAAAGGTTTAACCTGGTATCTATCGCCGTTTTGGAGGTTCTTCCACCCAGTTCGAATGCGTGTGATCTACGTTTGCTAAAAAAATCGTGAAAGTTGAAGATAACCACCCCACCCCGCTCCCGTAACGCCTGCCAAGGAGGGCAACATAATATTTGGGCGATGATAAATTATAATGATAATTTAGCCTAGCCTTGAATCCATCCGTGAACGTGTATATCCGCTCCGTTCCCGGCTCTCCGCTCCTGCCTAATCTCCAAGCAGATGTTTCAGTGGCTGCAAAATACAGTATCAAATTTGATACTGTATTTTGCAGCCACCGACACGTCTGCTCGGAGATATCTCCTCCTTCAAGAAGCAGGAGCGGGCCGGAGAGGAATTGGGCGGATATACAGCGTTCACGGATGGATTCCAGGCTAATTAGCCTGGATGCCATCCTCCCTAGTTTCCGTCAGCAACATTAAGGAGACGATGGAAACTACTACGGAGGATAGCAACCAGGCTAGGGCTAGGCGATCATAATATTTGTACTCTGGCTTTCCAGGATAGTGTAAAACAATAGAATTTAGCAACAATTTTCACACTGGGCAAGAAAGGCAAAACTGCTAAAAGTAAAGTACCTCCAGATATCGTCCATTGTCACCGGTTCAGCTCCTGGACTTGCAATTGAGCCGCTTGGACTGGGCAAGAGTCTTCTCCTTCTGCGTCTGCTGGTCGGTGTCGGCCGCGACATAACACAGACAGAGAGACCGGACTGCGATATTTCAGAGCGCGGTCACGTCAAGTTTAAATTTAGTCAAGCCAAACACAGCAGTGCTGGAATCAAGCGGTCACAACTTCTTGTGACGGAACCGAAAAAGAATTAGGGATTGGAGAAATTAACTGATTTTAGAGCGCGGTGAAACACGTCAAGTCTATAGGCAAGCCAAACACAGCAGTGCTGGAATCAAGCGGTCACAACTTCTTGTGACGGAACCGAAAAAGAATTAGGGATTGGAGAAATTAACTGATTTTAGAGCGCGGTGAAACACGTCGAGTCTATAGGCAAGCCAAACACAGCAGTGCTGGAATCAAGCGGTCACAACTTCTTGTGACGGAACCGAAAAAGAATTAGGGATTGGAGAAATTAACTGATTTTAGAGCGCGGTGAAACACGTCAAGTCTGTAGGCAAGCCAAACACAGCAGTGCTGGAATCAAGCGGTCACAACTTCTTGTGACGGAACCGAAAAAGAATTAGGGATTGGAGAAATTAACTGATTTTAGAGCGCGGTGAAACACGTCGAGTCTGTAGGCAAGCCAAACACAGCAGTGCTGGAATCAGGCGGTCTTGTGCCTGTGTGGTCGTGTGAAGGAATCCAAGAACTCCCATGGGTTTGTGCCTTCTGTGCCTTCGCAAAGACCGTCCAGATTCAGACCATATGTGCGTCACACATAAAAATGATACTTCATTGATATCCCAAAGACTGGACGTGGCACTGTACGTCATAAAGCAGTAGTTTATAACCGAAAAGTACGGATTTACCCCAGACCTTAAATTTTATGATGTATATATATATATTACTTTCCAACGCTTCAGTTGTTTAGAAAACCGACACTTGTCCCACTGGTGGGTGTGGAGAGAGACAGTCTGTCTGATCACACATGCTGGGACAGGGTGATGGGAATAACAGGCCACGAAACCTATTTTGATTGATGGAGACCTGTCCAAGGCAGGAAGCGGTCACTTGACTGATTTACTAGGAGATGGGCAGTACCAAGAACAAGCTAAGCCGCCCTCCCACCTCAGTAAAATGCAACTGAGAACTACTTCCAGATTAAGAGCTTATTGCAAATTTCTGCCCGAAGGCTAATTGTTCGGGCAGAAATTTGCAATAAGCTCTTATCATTAACCATATAGATATTCAAGGCTAATTGATTTAATAATTTGTACGTATAGATGCGTTATGAAACTTTGAAAGGCTTATAAAACAGCCCGGCTTCTGGATTTAATCTTTCAACGATAAATTTGAATAAAGCGGCGGGTCAATATATGTCATGACGTAGTAATCTCCAAGCAGATCATATGGTGGCACGGCAGTATCTTTGGCCAGAGGAGTGTCCATAACTAGTGTGCTATGGGTCTAGAACCCAGGCTAGTCTCGCCATCGAAAGGGATCTGCGGATCTGCTTGGAGATTAGGACGTAGCAGGAGTCCCCGCCGTGTGTGCACCCTACCGCGAGTGCCTTCAGTCAAGATTCAGCCAGAGACTCGAGCTCCAAGTTGACCCCTGGCTCTAATTATCTCCTCGCTGGCGTGATAGATCAAAGAGGTTTTATCTCCTTGGATAGATAAAGGCCATAAAGGGCTTGGGTCGGGCGGCAACAAGAGTAGAGTAGATCTTTCGTTCGGTAGCCAACGAAGTTTCTAAAGTGCATCGCTTATGACACGTCACGGTCTCATCCAAGCCCCCTTGGACAATCACTTTTCATATTCTAGTTTATATATAAACCCGCGCCGCAGTCTGGTGGACACTAGCGCTGTACCATGGCGTCTTTTCCCCGCGTACAGATTCCATCAAGTCTACTGTGTCAAGTACCAGTTGTATTGTAGTTTGATGACAGTTAATGTCGTCGTCGTCAGTCAAAAGTTCTAAGTAAACAATGCCGCGAAAAAGAAATACGGAGATTCGCCGAAACAGCAGAGGAAATCCATGGTGTGCACATTGTGGAGATTACGTCTCGAATTCCACTTATTATGCTCACGTAAGAGCACATGGAGCTGAGGTCTGCAATGGTATCTCTGAATCAGCCGGACTAGAGAAAAAGGTTGGGTCACTTGATGTTACATACAGCTGGTTACATATACATACTAGTAAATTATTTGTTTGGTTTTGTGAATAAGTAATACAGTTGCTTCTTCAAAGGAAAAATACACTCTTTGTCAGATTTTCTCATAATATAACTGTTGATATTATATCCATCGCATGTTACTATATGTTTTGTAATCTATGACAAACTTATGAGTGCCTCCGGGCTGCTTTTATATTTTCAGCAACGTTTGGCAGTGACACAAGAAACTTCACAAGAAGACGAGCCGACAGACGACCCCGTCCCGGGCCCCTCTAGGGTGAATACGGAACTCAATGTACGTATGCTTTCTCCTTTTCATTGTTATCAAAAGGACACTGTAGCCCACAGTTAGTATAGGATAGTCGCGCGAAACATACTGTATTACCCTTGAAAAAATTGTCTGGCGTCTTGCAGTACTTTTTTTAGTATCTTTACATCCGCAAATGTAAATACCTACATGCGGAATCACGGTGGCCGCTGTGTGGTTCCCAGTGTAACCTGGTCCCAGTGCGAAGCTGAAAAATCATAGAAGTTGGCTAAGTCGTACTATGAAACAAGGAGGTTATAGTGTATTTTGGTCGTATTAAATTACAACAAATATTATGTCAGAGGAGTTTAATAGCAGACCAGCCTGGGTTCCAGATGACCTGGGGCTGGGGTGCTGTTTTTCTCGGCAGTTTTACCACGGGTGGGGCTACGAGTATAGCCTGGTATCTCCCCGCGGATCTTGGGAAGCGGACTAATAAAGCTAACAAGGCTGGATACCAGGCTACTACGAGTAATCAACTCCTGGTGTACGTATTTCTGAGGAGGCGGCTGGAAAGAGTAGAAATCGGCCAAAATAGAGAGATAAGCATGCCGGGGGAGTTTGGCCGTTGAGAGAC